GCCACCAAGGTGCGCTTTTGTGCGCGCAACACAGCGCATCACGTGCACGAACTACATGGAACAAGGGGGCGTTGCCCGGAAAATAGAAGACGGTCAGCTGAAATGGCATGGGGGCTTCTGGGCCGAGGCAAGCCACGGACAATCGCACGTCGACTCCTTCGATATCAAACTAACCGTTCTGTCCCTCGAACATAAAATCTGGTTTGTTGCTTCCAAGGTCCTGGCTCCGTGTGTTTCCTCTGGGTTGGGAATGCAGCAAGGCAACTGGCCCATAACTTTTAGCATGCACAGATAAGTGCCAGAATGGCTCGAGGCCTGGACGGTCGGTACGGCAATGACAGAGAGGTTTCTTCTCTGGATGGTTTCGTCCAGACATGTGTTACTCATAGGATTTGGACATGTGTTGTAAAATTGTCATTTGTAGTTATTAATCTGAAGCGGACGCACGAGTGGCAACTTTGTTCGTCCGTGTACGCTGGTTCGACTGACTGGGATAAAATATGCCAGTCAGTCAAATATCCCAGTTGCAAGTTAGCGCCTGTCTCTGTCGTGTGTTTTATTCTTCGACTTGGTATTGCTTTGCAATTTTAACCCTTTTAATCATCGTAAACCAACTAGCTCAAATCAAAGTCTTCATTTAATTTGCGCTTTATGTTGAAGTGGGACAGCTACGGAAACAAAATTTTGCATTTTCAGACTTCATGGAGTGGGCAGATTACTTTCAAGTCATAAAAAAATCAAGTCCGAAACAACTTTAGTGCACCTTCAGGCGGGTTACCCTTTAGATCCAAGGGCATTTCGCCTTAATAAAGTCATCAGTACCATTTAAAAGGTCAGGGCATCCATTCAGGACTCCGTACTGATAGATCTACAAGCTTGACCTCGAGGCCAGTGCACCCCTTTCTCTGCTTGCAGTGTGACCCCCTCGTGCACTTGGCCCCAGATGGTGAAGCTGGTGCTAAACAGGATGTCGTCTTCTGTAAAAAAGTCGTCCCAGTAGTCGAACAATCCGCTTACACCCTTGAGCAGCGCATTTGTCCTTCCATGTCATTACCAACTGAAAAATAGGGTAAGCCTATTTGTTTTACGCAACAAAATGCATAAATGAACGTGTATATCTTATTCTCCTTATATTGAACACCTGCCAAAATTTAAGGGGCATTGATCAGTACAAAGACCTTTGCATTATTTCCTCTTTTGATACTACTTGAACTTAAACCCACTCAAACACTACTGCAATTTTATAAGCTGGGAACCTCGAGGACACCTCTCTAAATACTGAAATTACACAGTTTCTTCCTTCTGTCCTCATGCTCCTGGGTTTTTAGTCTTAAGAGTTATAGCTTTGGTTTTCGTCAAGGCTTGGTTGCTGGTAGATTCTGGAAAAAGCTGGTACTGTTCCTTTGAAACATCAAGTTTACAAATTGAACCCTAACCCGTATTGATGTTGGGATACAGAAGCTAGATTTGTCACGTCAAGGAGGTCCTGAAACAGTGGGCGTGGGACTGAACATAGTGGCCAAGTGGGCAACCAAGGCGCATTCGGGAGTGTTGAGGAAGACCAGGTGTCTGCGATTTGCGCCAGAGCGGGATGATTGGCCAGATACGTGAGAATCTGGTGCCGAGAGAACTTCAACCGGTTTGACTGCAGGACAGTGATCTGACTGAGCCACACTAACCAGAGAAAAAAGAGTTGCAAGCGAACGACGCTCTACGGCTGAGGAGGTAATTGACCAAGGTATTTGACCCAAGTGTCACAGTCGTCGTGTCAACAACCAAAAAAAGGATGTCCAAACAACAGCCCAGCAATACCAGCAGCGTGCCGAGAAGTGATGTGTAATAAACGACGATGTTACAGTGGTCTGCAACAGGCAGCTTCTCAGTGCCTTGGGCAACCTGGTTGAGATCACATGACACTTTCCTACCATAGGTGGCTTATATCTATATGACTTATGAAGCTATATGACTTATGCATATAGATGCAAAAGTCATAAAACAACTAATAATTTGATTTTTAAGAGTGCAGCTCTTAGGCGCCCGTTTCCGGCTTGAGCGGCGTCGGCGTCGCTGCGCGGTGCATTATGGGACGCGTGACTTCATTGATGACGTCATCAGTGACGTCATCGGCACCGCTATCGTCATCGTCATCAGTGACGTCACTGATAACGTCATCGTCATCGTCACGTGACCTCATAGGTGTCACGTGCCCCCGTTAAGTCACGTGACTCCGGTGACGTCACATGACCCCCTTGAGGTCACGTGACCCTCGTGAGGCGACGGCGACGCCGCTCGGAGGGAGGAGTAGCAGACAGGATGAGGACGTGAGAAGGAGGCACGAAGAATATACCTTCCCCTCCTCCTCCTCAATAGCTGCGCTCTAATTCGGCGTTACAGGGAGCAGTGTTGCGGAGTTGCCACTCCGGAGTTGGAAGGATTCCGGAATCATTCCGCATTTTTGCGACCCCGGAATGGAACGGGAATGGAATGGCGGCAACGTTCAGGGGAATGGAATGGGAATGGAATTAGATGCCTTTTGTCTGGAATGGAATGGGCATGTAATGGGCCAGGTTCTTTATATTTTATTTATTTATTTATTTATTTATTATGCTCAGCTATACCGAGCCAGTCAGGGAACCGGTTGTTCAGAAATAAAATGAGCGGGACACTGCGAACCCGCGTAAGGCCCTAGCAGACTTATGCACAAAAGAAAAAAATGCAAAACAAAAAAAACAAGCGTTAAAGCAAAGAACAGAGGGGGGAGGGGAGGGGGGGGGGGGCGGTGGCGCCTTTCACCAGTGAAGTTCAACACATATCCGAATGCGTCTGCGCCTGTAATATTGCACGGCTGGTACGTCATCAGCCGACGTGAACGTGACCTGCTGCTTTGGTGATCCGATACCCAGGAAGGAGGCCAGACGTGGCCTCGCTGTGCGGACCCAGACTTTGTACACTTTCGAGTCGTCTCGAGCGTGCCGGCATTCTCAGATCGCAATCCACGAGACCTCTGTTTGAATGATGCTAGGCGAAACTTGAAGACTGCCATTCACGCGTTGGAGGCGGAGAGTCGGCAGGAAGGACCGTCACAACAGGGATGCCACCGTATCGATTTTTCAACCGTAACAGAAGGTAAGACATGTGGTTTAGGATGCTTTAGGTGGTACACTTTTCTCGAAAATTCCAAATGCAACTGCCTGCATGGTCTTCAACGAGGCCAGCTACAACGAAAGTATGTATTGTCCTTTCATACAGCAGCGTGGGTAAAGTTTCATGTTCAAGGCAACACCTACAGATTCGAGAAAAGTAGTTCATCCCACTGTGACGTCATGTGATCAGTGCTGACAGGGCCGCCCTTATTGAACGGGGAGTGGTGATGTTTTGATGGAATTTATTTTAGAGGTCGAAGTCTTTTCGCATCACTGGTCAGTCAGACAGGATGTCAGGGAAGGGACCGCAGTCAATCCTTGATGGAACGTTTTTTAAACCCATTGAGGACTCTTCGTCCGGAACCACTACGTTCAAGGCGAAGTGCCAAGCCTGCGGAAAACTAATTTCGGGACCAAAAAAAAAAAAAAAACTTCCACTTCAAACTTAAAACCTCATCTCAGTTGGCGTCTCAAAGAAATTTGAAAAATGTATTGTACTATCAGTATTAATATTTCAGCCCTCCCTAAAATGTATTCTTGTATTTGTATTTCCAAAGACTTTTTGCCTCTTTTTAAATTTCCGATACGTATCACGATACATTTTTATATATATATTTGAGACTTGAGTATCATTATTTTAGTTACTATTTTCATCTATCCCAGTATTTGTATTTCCCAATACATTTCTGAAGATTTCTGCCCAACCCTGCAACGTATAGCAGCTGTCAAGTGACACGTTTAACGTTTAGGAATTGGAGGAATGGAATGGAGCGACTCTGCCATTTCAGGAGTGGGAATGGGCCCAGTGTCCCCATTCCTAGGAGTTGAAAGGAATGGAATTATCGAAAACTCTAATTCCCCAGAATGAAATTGGAATGGAATGGGGGTGCCCATTCCGCAACACTGACAGGGAGTTGTAAACGGCTTTCTTTTTTTTTTTCTTTTTTTTTTTAGTTCAGATATTAGCATCTGTATTCGGCTTCCACAACTTCTGAAAGCTGTCTCTGAATGCATAGAATGGTTTCTTTCATAATCTTAACTTCATGAATAACTTCTCTGCTGGTGACGGAGCCGTAAAACGCTGGCACTCTGCTAGTCGGACAGGCATCGAAGCCATTACAGAGGGCCGGCAGCATGTCCTCCGAGCAGAGATATTTTTCAGTAGCCAGGCAGCCGGTGGATTCTGTTAGAATTATGGGGTAGGGGGAAGTCAGGCACTTGCAAATTGACGGACACAAAAAAACTATTAGGCCGGTACGAAAATATGCTGCCCTCGTCCCTGCAGCATTTTTTCCACTCGGGCTTTATTGTGAAACAAATAGGCGGCCAGCGACGACGGCACATACTTCAGAACAGTGCGTCTTGAGTTTAACACCTTTGTATGGTGCTTGATTGCGCGCGTGAAGTTTTGGCGTAGCCAGTAATTTTTTTTGATGCCCCATGGAGCATCAAAAAGCATTTGGGGCATCCAATTTTTGGATCCCCCAAATGATGCCCGCCCCCCAAGGGGGGGGGAGGGGGGGGGGCATCATTTGGAGTGCGAGTGACCGAGCGACCCCCCCCCCTTGTCTACGCCACTGGCGTGAAGTGACATCGAATGGCACTCAAGCATGGCGCAATCACTACTAAAACAGGCTACCACCCAACACTGAGTCGTGACTGTGTGACACACATAGAGATATCCTACCACACCACTCTTTGGTATACATCTCGTCGCTGGGGGGGGGGGGGGTAACGAAAAGCAGGCGACTGCGCACTCGGCTCGGTTGTACCGCACCGATCGCCTAATCCGCTGCTTTTCCGTAACATTCCCTGTTTTACTTTTCGTATTTGGAAATACGAAAAGTAAAACAGGGAATGTTAGGTTTACTTCTGAAAAGTAAGTTTCGAACTTCCGAAACGAAACGCAACACCTCACGAAAGGTGCAGCCGTGGGCCACGTCGAGGAACTCCGAAACCCCGCCGAAATCACCGCGATTACTGACCAATCCTCGCCGCCTCAGCCAGACAGTGCGTTGCCAGCGCAGCTCGACAATGACTCTAAGCTTCCGGGCCCGAAACGACGGCAGCTGCTTAACCTCGTCGCCGAATACCGCGACTGCTTTGCGACGTCGTCGAAGGTACACCAAACCGCCGTTGCGAAGCACCGCATCGTTACCGAGGACGACGCACGCATCGTTACCGAGGACGACGCACGCCCTGTGCATCGATCGCCGTACCGAGTCTCCGTTAAAGAAAGGGAGGTAATCCAGGAGCAAGTTCAAGAGATGCTGAAATATGACATAATCCAACCTTCAAATAGTCCGTGGGCCTCGCCAGTCGTGCTGGTTAAGAAGAATGGCGGAACGCTAAGGTTCTGCGTGGACTACCGGCAGCTGAACGCGGTGACGAAGAAAGATGTCTACCCACTCCTCCACATCGACGACACCCTTGACCGGCTGCGCCACTCTCGATATTTCTCATCGATGGACCTGAAGAGCGGTTACTGGCAGATCGAAGTCGACGAACGGGACCGAGAAAAGACAGCTTTCGTCACGCCGGATGAACTGTACGAGATTAAGGTGATGCCCTTCGGATTATGCACGGCGCCAGCAACTTTCCAGCGTGTCATGGACACAGTGCTGGCAGGGCTGAAGTGGCAGAGCTGTCTCGTCTACTTCGACGACGTCGTCGTGTTTTCCAGCGACTTCGACGAGCACTTGCAACGACTCCAAGCAGTTCTCCAAGCCATACGGAACGCCGGACTCACCCTGAAGCCGTCAAAGTGTCGGTTCGCCTATGACGAACTGAAGTTCCTAGGCCACGTGGTTAGTAACGAAGGCGTCCGCCCAGACCCCGAGAAGACTCGCGCCGTTGCGGCATTTCCAGCGCCGAAAGACAAGAAGGCCGTGCGAAGATTTCTCGGACTTTGTGCCTACTATCGACACTTCGTTCGGGATTTCGCAAGGATTTCCGCACCGCTCACAAACCTCACGAAGGACGCCCAGAAGTTCGAATGGGCCGAGGAGCAGCAGCAGGCATTCGACGAGCTGAAGCGAAGACTCCAGACTCCTCCTGTCCTAGGACACTTTGATCAGGATGCGGAAACCGAGATTCACACGGACGCTAGTAATGCAGGACTTGGAGCGGTACTGGTTCAAGTGCAAGAAGGCACCGAGCGAGTCATCGCCTACGCAAGTCGGACGCTGTCCAAATCGGAGAGAAATTACTCCACGACTGAAAAGGAGTGTCTTGCGGTCGTCTGGGCAATCACGAAGTTCCGCCCGTACTTGAACGGGAGCCCGTTCCGCGTAGTCACAGACCACCACTCGCTCTGCTGGCTTGCGAACCTCAAGGACCCTTCAGGACGCCTCGCTCGATGGAGTCTCCGACTACAGGAGTTCAACATGACTGTAGTCTACAAGTCAGGCCGCAAGCACAGCGACGCCGACTGCTTGTCCAGGGCCCCTGTCGAAACACCTTCCGGCAGCAGCGACGACAATGACGACGAGTGCTTCCTAGGAGCAGTGACCAACGACGACCTGGCACGACGTCAACGAAACGATCCTGAGCTGCGCGCATTAATTCAGCACCTGGAAGGGCGCGGGAGTACCGTGCCCCGTGTTTTCTCACGAACCCTGCCGACCTTCGCCATTCGACAAGGTGTACTCTGCAAAGAGAACTCTGGGGACAGTAACTCGCCGTGGCTGCTGGTAATCCCGAGTGACCTTCGAGAGGAGATCTTCCAATCCTGCCACGACGACCCGACGTCCGGACACCTTGGTTACAGCCGGACACTGGCCCGTATTCGTGAAAAGTATTACTGGCCCAAGCTCCCCAAGACCGTCCACCTATACACACGATCATGCCACGAGTGCCAGCAACGCATGAAACCTCCGACGAGGCCGGCCGGCCTGCTGCAGCCCATTTCTCCTCCAACTGCACCCTTCCAGCAGATCGGAATGGATCCACTTGGTCCTTTTCCGCCTTCGACGTCGGGAAACCGCTGGATCATCGTCGCTACAGATTATCTAACGCGGTACGCCAAAACGAAAGTTCTTCCTTCGGGGACCGCTGTGGAAGTTGCCAAGTTTTTTATTGAGTCCATCGTCCTCCGGCACGGCGCGCCAGAAGTTCTGATTACAGATCGCGGATCATCGTTCATGGCACAGCTGACCCAAGAAATCCTCCGACTCAGTCACACCAGCCACCGTCGTACAACTGCGTACCACCCGCAGACCAACGGGCTGACGGAGCGACTGAACAAGACAATCGCCGATATGATCTCTATGTACGTCGACGTAGAGCACAAGACGTGGGACGAGGTGCTGCCCTACGTCACGTTCGTCTACAATACGGCGGTTCAAGAGACCACTGGATTCACACCCTTCCAGCTGGTACATGGTCGGAAAGTAACGACCATGCTAGACGCGATGCTGCCCCATGAGCCAACTGATACTGAGAGCGACGACGCCCAGGTGGTTGCTCAACGGGCAGAAGAAGTCCGCCAGCTCGCCCGACTCCTGATTCAAGACCAGCAGCGCGTCGACGCGGGCCGCTACAACCTTCGTCGCAGGGACGTCCACTTCCAGCCCGGAGACAGGGTGTGGGTATGGACGCCCATCCGCCGCTGCGGCCTCAGTGAGAAACTGCTGAAACGGTACTTTGGACCATACAAGGTACTTCGTCGCCTCGGCGAGCTGAACTACGAGGTGATGCCCGACGGAACACGAACATCGTTACGCCGCCCACCACGACCTGAGGTCGTCCACGTCGTGCGCCTGAAGCCGTACTACGCTCGATAGGACTGTGGATCTTTTGTGTTTCAAATGACTCTTTAGTTTGCCGTTCTTTTTATGTGCTTTGTTTTGTTTTGTGTTGCATCGGGGCGATGCACTTTTAAAGGGGGGAGTAATGCCGCGCTCAGGGGTCACGGACTTCTAGAACTTTCTCGTTTATTCTTGCTCCGGACATAGCTTCTATCGTTTATCCCCGCTTATGTTGTTCTAGAAAGTGCGTGTTCATTCTCGCCCCGAGCGCGCTACACTCGAACCTTCTCCGCCGAATCTTCGAGATAGTGACTTACTCTAAATAAGACGCCGCTCGCGACCTTGTCGAGTCAGTCTCGCCCCAGCGCTCGATCCTGCGGTTTCGCCGACTTCGACGCCCGCGACGCTCTGTTATTATCTTTTGTACTCTTTTATTTTTGGCACAAGTTCGCCACATTAAACGTTTATTTCTTCGTGTTTGTCTATTGTTTTTATTCACCCCCCGTGACAGTATATTCCTTCAACATGCAACTGTTTGTGAATGACACAAAATGTGCAAAGACGACTCACCCCAGTGAGCGCCATGGAGCAGTCTTCCGGGTACTTGAGATTGGCCTTCGAAAGTTCGACAGCCCATTCAGCTCACTGAAGGGGGCTCTAGCTGCTCCTTGATGCCTCATGGAGACACCGAGACACTTGATAGCAAAAAAGGGGTCATGGTTAAGAAGTAGAAAGCCTGACTTGCGTCGCACGTACGTTACCGTATTTACGGTGGAGCGGCTCGTCAACATACTACCGCCGGAGAAGGGGACGCATATTGGTGCTTCGTATGCTCCCAGGGTAAATTATTTCACGTCAATCGAAGTAACGTACACTTCGCGATATTTCCGATCTCTTTTTTGGTATGCCACGTCCTCGTTCACAAACTAGCAGTGGATTTCCGAGAACCCCAGAAAGGCCTTCCGCAATGGCCGCGGAGGACAGACAGCCCCGCTTTGTTTACCCCCGGCGGTCCCCGAGCTCCCTCCCGCCCGGAGCCGTCTTCCAATCAGGACGCGGCCAAGTGACGTCATGGAACCGACCTGCGCGGAAGAGCAGACGGCTTTCCCTCAGTATACGACAGTGATAAAAAATGATTAACACTTCGGTTATATTGCAATTTCTGTTGGCTGCTCTGTCTCGTCAGCTCTTATTGTACAAGATTGCTGTCTCTCCAGTCGCTGCTGTGCAAGCTTGAATTTGTTAGGTGAGTTCAGGTGTCACTGAGTTGCAAGAAAGAATGTCTGCCCCATGTTTAATTTGTTCACGGCTCCCCTGAGCCGAAATAGATATCTATCTATCTACAAAGGGAGGAGTTATTGTTTCCATTATCAGAAGGTTTGTCTGATACCTATATCTATCGAAAAAATTTGTACGCTGTATGTCATGAAAATGTTTTGTTGCAAAGTTGTGTTTTTGAATGAAGAGAAAAGTTATATAAAGGATGCACAAGTCTCAGCCATAAAAGAACCGATGCCCATGCGTGTCAACGACTGATGACGACTTGACTGACCCATGACGTGTCGATGACTGATGCTTGTGAACTCAATCGGCCGGATAGACGAATGGCAATGGATGATATGATAAATCATTCCGTCAAGACTTTTCCTATGCAGTATTCTATGACGGGCTTGGGTTTTGAAAAGTTTTTATCAAAACATTATACAGGAAGAGTGAATACTTTTTAATCTCCTTGTATGTAAGTTTTTTTTTCTCTTCAGTTCATAGTTGACGCATTTACTGCTCCCTCCAGAAAGCAAAAACGTTAGGTTGTGCTTTGCCATTTTGGGAGTGTTTTCTTTCTGCGAGCCAAGTTTTTGTTTTAGGCTAGTAGTTTTTGGGGAATCTGTCGCCTCCCTATACATAGTTGCAACCGTCAAAGTGAGAAAAAACTCCTCAGTGTAGTCCTGTCAAGTGCCTGTAGACGCTGCACATGCTTGAACCTTTCTTTTAGCCTCGTTCTGGAAGATTCTGAGACACTTCCGCAGGTCATTGGGGTTCCTCCAGAAGGAACTGAAATGCAGAGGACTATCACAGGATTGTCGTTGTCCCCGTGTCATTTGCAATCATTGGTCTGAGACAATACTAGTGCAGCAAGATTTCTATCAGGTGACCCGACTTGCCTCCAGACAGCACTGAAGTGTTAAAACCTACCGTGGGATGGTCGTTGTCCTCAAGTTGTAGTCAACCATTGCTCTTAGGCGGTGCTACTGCAACGAAATTTTATATCTGGTGACCCAACTTTCCTCTAGACAGCACTGAAGGGCTGATAACTACCATTGGATGATCGTCGTTCTCAGATTCTAGTCAATGATTGTTCTTAGATGGCGGCATTGCAACAAAGTTTCCTTTTTTGTACCCAACTTGCCTCCAGATTGCACTGAATGCTGAGAACTGCCATGGAATGGTCGTCGTGCTCAGATTTTAGTCAATCGTTGGTCTTCGACGGTGCTTTTGCAACAAAGTTTTCTATCTTGTGAACAACCTTGCCTTCAGAAGGCGCTAAAGTGCTGATGTATGCAATTTGTGCGATGTATGCAAACTGATGTATGCAATTTGTTTTATGAATGTGGGCTTTGCTTGATTTCAATGGCTTAGCCTGAATTGCCCTTTGCTATAATGGGACTATACTGAATTTATAAGAGCTGCATTCTGTGCAAGGCTAGCTGCTCACGGTAGAAATAAAGCGAACGAAGCTTAGAAACAACTAACCAGGGCCATGGAAAATTAAATTATTGAATCAATTCAACGATAGCTGTAAAACTAAAGATCATGTTGCAGAAAGTGTTGTGGGATTGTTAGCATATATTTCGATGTCTCGGGTGACTATGACTTAGGCTAGGCAAGAGAATAGCCTGATAAGTGGAATTTCAATTGGGTGGGTCATAAAACTCACTTCAGGGGTGCGCACTTGGACAAACTGACAAGGCAAGCTTACAGTCATAATTGTAATAAGCGTTTGTAAATTTTATTAACAAACGATTCTCCTTAATTATTTACACATGCATTAGACATGTTAGGATTTCTATAGTTCAGCAAATGTGTTTTTATAAAATGGTAACTTTAGTGAGTTGAAAATTCACATATGACGACAAACAGTGAAAAAGACAAATATAAAGATAAAACACACCATGATGCTTTGAATAAGGGGAGATTTTTTATGTATAAAGACATAAAACAGAACAGCAACAAGTAGTTTATTTCCACTATACTCGGCGACAACTTTTCTTGGCAATGCAGTGGAAGGTACAGGCCCGCGTCCTCTCTCCCATTTTGAGTGTACGCGGGCTCTCCTCCTCTCCCCGGAAATGGGGGAGGAGGAGAGCCTGCGTACACTCAAAATGGGAGAGGGTACGCGGGACCTACCTTCCACTGCATTGCCAAGAAAAGTTGTCGCCGAGTATAGTTCAAGCCTCTTTAGACATAACATATTCTGGAGAATTTCAAGTTCATACTCCAAGAGCTTCACTGACCGAGAATATAGAATCCAGTGAGTTCAAATGCGCCTCAAAACTACTAAAACTCAAATTTTCCCCAATGTTCTAGCTTACTTCCTGAACCCCAACAGCGTAGCTTCCACATCTTACCCTATAGATGTTATAGCTATTAGGATAAAATGCACAGGTAGAGATATATTATTTTGGTTCATAGCGAGAATTTGCATGAAATGCAGTCAAGGTCATAACGACGTTACAGGAAAAACTCTGGTATAATTTTTGTGTATTCACTTGATGTTACGTTAACCAAACGACTCGGGTTTGAGTTATCGGTTTGTGGATCCCAAGGCTGCTCAAACCGCTCACCGTGGTTGCCATTTTCAGGATGTTGGGGTGGTGGGGTATATATAAAGTTGACAAGTAATCTGTGCCTAGGGACGGAGACATCGAATAAAAATGTTTGAAGCTGCCGAACTACCTTTTTTTTTTTCGAACTGAACAGTGTGAAACTGAAGTCCGTTTGTGGCTGCAGCAGATGTTCAACAATGCTACAAAGCCGTTCTGTCACCTTGACGAGAGAAAAGAATTTTGGTCGATGCAAGGACACCTACCTCGTGACCTTATGTTTCGACGGCTTCTATTCTACAAGGAAACGTACTGAAAACAGACTGTACAAAGAAAAACAAGTTTATTACCCTAGTCAAGACTACCTGGTAGAAAACATATGATGATGTAGTTTGACCTCACCGTGGAGTAGAGTTTATATCCAATAAGATATCAAAGTGCACGAAAATATAAGGGCGCATGCGAAAATCTAAGGAAGTTTTAAATTAACCTCTCGTCCAGCTGGTTTTAATCCAACTTTTTACGGGTCTCTTGTTGCTTTCTTTTTGTGTCGGTAATTTGTAGCACTCCTATAATCTAATAAAAGCGAATTGCATTTAAGGTACAAGCGGAAATCCCAAAGTATATAATGCGTGTACCATCGTCCCGAATGGAAATTACTATTCAAACCCAGAAGCTGCCAATACTTCCGCTGAGTGGCATTTGTTCAAGGATTGTCACTTTTATCATATGAACTTCCACACCAGTGTGTCCGGGACGGTAAGATTTCTTGTTGTTTTTTGTGGTCGCCGAAATTTAATTCAGAAATTTATTGATAGCATGCAACAATCCGTAAGCCTCACACAATGAAGAAATATTCAATTCGATGAGGTTGAAATAACTTATATGCAGTTTTTCGAATATTGTTTATAGTAAACGACAGCACTGAAAAACTGGAAGCGGCTTATTGCGTTTACCCCTCTTGCCTCGTGATTGGTCCTCCGGTGTTCTTCTTGGCTAATGCTGCGATATCATTGGCTATGGAGCGTTAACAAGATGTACGAGAATCGCTATAGCCTGCTTTTTTTTTACCTATTAGAGTCTTTAGTTGGTGCGGTTAGTCCATTTTCATGGCGCTTATTTTAGAGCGCAGCTCTTAGGCGCCCGTTCCCAGCTTGAGCGGCGTCGGCGTCGGCGTAACCGCGAACAACCCTCGTAACCCTCGTGAGGGTTACGAGGGTTACGAGGGTTAATCTCACGAGGGTTACCCTCACGAGGCCCACGAGGGTTGCTAACCCTCGTAACCCTCACGAGGGTTAAGAGGGTTAGTTACCCTCAAAAGGGTTACCTTCACGAGGGTCACGAGGGTTACCCTCACGAGGGTAACGAGGGTTATGAGAGTTACCCTCACGAGGGTCACGAGAGTTACCCTCACGAGGGTCACAAGAGTTGCCCTCACAAGGGTTACTAGAGTTACCCTCACGAGGGTCGCAATGGCTACCCAAGTCACGTGACTCCCCCCAGCGTGGCCACGTGACCTGGGGATACCCCCGAAGTCACGTGACCCCCCGTTGACGTCATCGCCACTGATGACGTCATCAATGATGTCACTGATGACGTCACCGGCATCCGGATCGCCATCGGCATCATCACTGATGACGTCATCAGTGACGTCACTGATGACGACACCGGCATCTGCATCTTCATCATCATCATCACTGATGACGTCATCAGTGACGTCACTGATGACGTCACCGTCATCCGCATCGTCACCATCATCATCACTGATGACGTCATCAGTGACGTCATTGATAACGTCATCGGCATCGTCACGTGACCCCCAGGTCACGCGACCCCCCCGACGTCACGTGACACCCCAAGGTCACGTGACTCCCCCCCCCCCCCCCGAGGTCACTTGACCCGCCCCCCCAGTACCCTTCCCTCCTCCTCCTCAAGAGCTGCGCTCTAATTCGGCGTTACAGGGAGTTGTGAACGGCTTTCATTTTTTAACCTCGTGGTTTTATTTCTTGTGTGTGTGTGTGTCTGTGTGCGTGTCTGTGTGTGTGTGCGTGTGTGCGCGCGTGTGTGTGTGTGCGTGTGTGCGCGCGTGTGTGTGTCTGTGTGATTTATCACTGAAATACACATTTCTATCCAAATATTTCAGGCTCTCAAGGAAAACAGGTGCTGCAGGGTGTGTTGCAACGTAACCTTCACTTTAGGAAGGTACACGAGGTATAGCCTCTTTGACCAGCATGCCCCGTATGGATTTCCATGTGGCCCCAACAAGGTGTGCTATACACTGAATTAGTAAAATTCCGAACAAACGACAACAAGCCGACTGACAATTTAATTATGATACGGAGTTATATTAAAGGGGCGGTGCAATGATTTTAACACTGAAGGAATGTGCAGCTTGTATTTTTTATATTGTTTACTTCGGCATAAGTAAGAGAAAAAGTGCTACCATATCCCAAAATACCTCTATTTCGCTGCGTAATCGCAAAACAAGAAACCCTTTTTTTCCCAACCCGCGGCCACATGGTGGCCGCAAATGGAACCTGTGGTGTGACGTCACTCGGAGTGGTTTTTGTAAGTGATAGTGTTAGGCAATTGTAAGCTTGATTTAAGGTTAAGTTTAAAAAATCTTGTTGTTGAGGCATGCAGAAACGCTTCAAAAGCCTAATATTGCCGCTAAAAGGGTATGAATTATTTGTGGCGCCATCTACCGCAAGTCAACAGAACCTGCCGTCGCCGTCATCCGTTGACGCCCGTGGCGCCTACGGCGGCTACACGAGCAACCCGGACGTTTTGTCTTTCCCTCGCTTGACGGAGTGCGTTAATCGTGGTCCGTAGTATCGTGGCATCGTTATTGTTCCTGGTGTCTCGACCTCGACTTTGACTTCGACTGCCCGCCGCGCCGCCATGTTGGTCGGGAATCGACGGGAGAGTGGGAGAGCGGCGAGCCTGGCGAGCCGGCGAGCGCTGGGGAAACGGAAGCCAGAAGAACCCAACCGGAAACCAACGCCACTCCGAATGACGTCACTGGCGAAGCTGGTGCCGCTTCAATGTTGAGTTGAGGGGTGCCGGAGATAGCAATTTCTTTTATTTTTTTTTAATGAAAACTAGGGCAAGTAGGAAAGAATAGTTTTCGGTCCTTCGTTTTATATGTGGCCGGGATCAATTCCCGCAATTAATTAGCCAAAGTCCGCAAATTGTTGCACCGCCCCTTTAAGGTGCCCGGAACGAGTCTCTGACCAGTGTTTTCAGCGTCCCATCTCGCCCATTCATCGAGAGTGGTACCGAATTGGCGACCAATGACGACAAAGAAGTCGGATTGTCATTCCGCTGGTTGTTGCGATCTTGGTGGTTGGGCGCAGAAGCTGAGGGAAAAACCTCTGGCCAACGCGAGTGTCGCTGTCGTCGCGGCGTCCCAACTCCTGGCTGCCGAAGCTTCCGCGGTCTGTCAAGCTGGAGAGCGACCTGCAGCGGAACAATCGTCTGCCACAAACACCACCGCTACTGCGACAGAATCACACTTGTATGACGTCACAAGGCGGAAATCGAGGGACCACTTTTTTAGACGCAATGAACGCACCAGTCGGAGACGCATTCCAGGCATGGTGGAAGTGAAATCAAATAATTCCGATTAATTTAATTTTAAATCAGACTTACTTGGTTGAAATCCGATTAATTTTATTTAAATCACAATTCCTCGAAATTGGTGATTATCTATAAGAAGATGCATTTTTAAACATGGCAGATTGATTCACCAATCCGTACGATCCCGTATAATATTGCGAAAGAAATTATCACGTTAAATTTAAAGTGGTTTCATTAGCAACATTTTATTGATAGAAATCTGCGAAATTAGAATAAAAGCAGCTTGATTTATTTAGTCAGTTGAAATAAATAATATATCTGCTACCGTTCTCGAATTCTGAATTACTTGCGATAGAACATTCTTTTTTTTTTTTTTTTCATTTTCGGTTCTTCTTATTTGCCTTGCCGAACTAACAATCGAAGTGGTAGGTAGAAAGAAAGCTCAACGTTTCGGTTGCTCCGAAGAACAGTGTTTTTCCCTCGTTATCAGTTTCACATAAATACTTCATCCCTCATGATTTATTGATACTGATATAAACAAACGCACGTAAACATTCGATTTACGAAAACGTAAATCGAATGACAAATAAATGGTAAATAACATATAATCTGCATTATTATTGTTTGGCGGGAAAGGTTCGGTTTAAATCATCGTAGCAAAAATTGGTGTCACTGAAATCACGAGTTTAATCATTATTTAAATCGTGACTAAATCAAGATTTAAATCATTATTTAAATCGTGACTAAATCAAGATTTAAATCATTATTTAAATCGTGACTAAATCAAGACTTAAATCATATCGTATTTTATTCTCCGCTTTGGTTCCGGGCACCATCACTCACAGCTTAAGAAAATCTGAGCGTGGCTTATGTTAATTCACTCGTCTTTCTTCGTGATTGGTCCTTCGGCCTTCCTATCGGCTGATGCTGCGATCTGATTGGCAGCGAAGCGATAATAATATGCTTATGAGTCACCACCTCCTGCATTTTCTGGTGCAAGCTTTAATAAAAAGCAGGACAAGCTCCTCTTACAAAGCCCTCCACACTTTCTACTTTGGCAAAGCGAACGCTGGAGAGAAAGAAACCACCAATCATGGCGAGCAGAAAGCTTTGTAAATGGGGCTTGGCCTGATTTATATATATATATATATATATATATATATATATATATATATATATATAGAGAACGAAATATAAGTTGAACAAAAAATAAATATACGAACACGTAGTTTAGCTGACAAACTATGCAATAATTTTCTAATTCCAGTACTTCGATAGACACTGACTTTTTTTTTTCGTTGATTCAAAATCTTTGGGGACGCCTTTAAAGGGATACTAAACCGAAATTTGGATTTCGCGAAATAAGGCCGCAGCAGCGTTAAAGGGGACGCCCTACGAACTCCAAAACATCACTCGTACATCGATATCTCAAACGGATGGCCGTACTTTTGGAAAAGAAGGGCGCGATCAAGCGAGGTCTTTGACGTCATTGTCCTCCTGGAATATTTGAGAATGAGGGGAAGCGGCTTCGCTTCTCTCCTCCTCGCTTCGGTTCACCAGCTCAAAAAGACGAAGCGAGGAGGAGAGTGAATAGGAAGCGTGACATGGCTTGTTCTCGTCGGCCTCGTCTGCCGTTTTCAATCGCACTTCTTTTCCAAAAATACGGCTATCCGTTAGAGAGATTGCTATATGAGTGATGTTTCTGGGCTTTGCAGCGTCCCGCCTATCCGTCCAGCCTTGTCTTTCGAGCTCGAAATTTCGGTTCAGTATCCCTTTAGGAGTGCAACGCATTAGCGTTATCGGACGCCGTTCGCGAAGCCTTCCCATAGAAACCCGCGCTCGTTCCCGAGCCGTGCAAGCGAGTGTGCGTGGTTTACCCGGAATCGTCACGTGACGTCACATGACCTGTGACGTTACTCGTGGCTGTGACGTCATGACCCTATCAACCGTTAAATTTAGCGGAAACATTTTTGCCAAATTTTGCGGGAATATTTTTCGCTACATTTGCTTGAAAATGTAGCGGGTCGATAGAGTCCCAACATCACAACCACGTGAAACGTCACAAGTGTGCCATCACGTGTGACGTCACAAGTGACGTCACACATGGCTGATCACGTCCCATTATGAAATACTTTGGTCCCACCGACAACGCACTTTCTGCGACACGAGCTCCTAAACGCTATCGCGTTAAGAAGAAAAACAAGCCGCCTATTGGCCACCCAAAAACATGTTTGCAGTACTGAGTGTTCACAAAAACTTTTGTTTAAAGCGAGCTGCTCAAACTTAAACGTACTTGAAGCGTTGGCGTATAGAATATATATATATATATATATATATATATATATATACTTGACGTGATGGGAAGAACTATTTGGTGTCTCGGGCACGACTATAGCCTCTAAAAACAAACATCGGTACTCGAGATATCAAAAAACAGATCAATTTTGCTCCCCGAAATAATTGGTACACAATCTTTTGCCTTGTTTCACGATGGGCTGTTGGGGCGACTTTCACACCAGCCCATTAACTGGCTTCGTGTGCTTGGAGTTAATGCGGCACCGCCACATGCACGCAGCATTAAAAGCTTTGAATGAGTACTTAGAGAAATGCAATTGGGGAGGAATTAAATATTTTGTAAAGTTGGATAACTAGACGGATTAGAATTATTTACTATATCAAAATGGCATCTTTACGTTCTTTGTTCACAGATCTGTGACAGGCATCAAGTTTGCATTAAAAAGCCCAACGAAATCGTCGAAATAGAAGAGACAACTGAAAGAAATAATGTTTTTGTGAATGAAACATTCTGGTATTCAGACGATTATTAAAAGACCAAAAACACTGGCCTTAAATGTTGCGTTCCTAAAAATATATTCTACGATTTTTCGGAGGAGTAATTTATGTGTTGCCTATGAAACAAGTTGATAACACTTCGAGCCATGGCCTTTTATGAAACATCCATTGCCTAAGATCAGATTCTGAAGACGTGTAGGGCTACTCGGTCCTACTATTTTTTGTTTTTTGTGCGTAATCATAAATATTTTTTTATTACAGCGAAGCTGTTTATGGCTAGGGTTCTGTGGATTTTTCGTGTGCTTGACCAAAATATCTACGCTCGCACCGCCGCACGCGGACGCCTTCCCCGTATAAAAGATTCGAAGTCAATAAGCAAAAAACAAGCGTTGGCGCACGCGCATGCAAGATGCTATTTTTTCTAGGCTTTCGCTTTAGAACAGTCACTTCTGCAGACGCCAGCTCGTGCGGCGCGTAAAACACCATTCCCGGCATTCTCCTTGATGCTTGAGTAATTCAGCAATCGGTCTATTTCACCTCTCTATTCTCGTCGTAATGGGGACCCCCGAAGAGCAACGCGCCTACGAAGAGCAACGGCGGGAACGGCACCGAGAATGTCAGCGGCAGCGGCGGGCGGAACACACCACCGATGAAAATCCTGCTCAATGCGTCAAGCGCATGCGGCAAACCAGACAAGGCGACGAACGTCGCGGGGCGGAAAACGCATCAAAAATGTGTCTGCGTATCCTTTCGTCATGATGACCACCGACCACGACAATAAATATCTTCATACCTTTGTTCACAATTCTGCGTACTTCGTAACTTTATGAGTGTTTTTATAATTTATGTTATTTCGTTCATACTTAAAAATGCGCGAAAAAAAAAACAAAAAAACCTTCGATTAACCACGATTCACGCGTTTTTTAGACTCCCGGGCCAGCGTCCTAGGGCTAAAGGCCTGGTGCAGACTTGGCAACCAGAGCTCGGTTTTAACATCTAATTAAGTGTTTACAAATTTTACTTTTAGTACCATTTAATTTAGACCTGGAAGTTCTGTATCTAACATGTCAATATTCATTCATATTACTTCTTGGAAATGTATTCAAGGCCACTACATTATTTGTTTGTACTCTTCGTCTTCTTGTCCTCCGTTTTTTTTTTTTTCCTGTTTTACTTTTTTTAAAGACGTACTATATCAAGTCTAAGAGGCAACCGATTGAAGGTTATTTGAGTAAAATGGAATGGGGCAAATACAAAAAAAACAATATCAACAAATCCTATCCACAGATCAAGGCAAAACAAGCGAATGTGACATTAAAATCTCTATAAACAACACAAGCACAGATGGCATTAAAGAGAACAACATCAAAGTCCCCATTTTATTTATTTCACAAAACTGCCAGCCAAGTAAAAGGCCAAGGCAGGAGTATGCACTACAACTAGAACACATGCTGAATATGTAAGTGTTGATCACAAAATAAAAAAGGGGATGAATTAGATTAACACACACCATACCATACACCATAAAATGTTTTTTTAACACTTCATAAATGTGCAGGTAGCTTTAGTGACATGTGCAATCACTTTTACCTTGAATAAGGTACTTATAAGCCCCTTAAACCATCTAATGCTGTGACTGATACGGTACACTTGAAGACGGAATAAATTTTATGAACCACAAAGGATTCAACATCCTTTGTGATTCGTACTCTTTGATGGCACTGGTCTGAAGGAATCCCAGACTTCAGGTGCATACTCGAGAGAAGGGTGCATGCGTGTGTTATACGCTGCAAGTTAGATTCGCCTTGTATGCTACTGAATCTATCAGCTTGTCTAATATGACACAAACCTGAGGTCCTGGAGATGCCAGTGAAGTGTGCGTTCTGCAGGCAGCAGCTGCCCCAACTCCCCAATACCACATTGGAAGCCATGGAAGCCACAAGAAAGACGAACCTCAAAAACTTTTTCGAGGGTGCCTTTACTTCATGAGTCTCCTTCATAGTGAGACGTTTCGAGACACTTAAGCTGAATTGCAGCGCAAAAGCGTTCAAGTCTAAAGTTCAAAATGTTCTCTACAAAGTTGCAACTCATACTTCTGTCGCTGCACCAATGTCAGTGTTTGCTGCATTGAATTTAGTTGTCTTTGTAGCTCTTTGTTATTCATCAATACATCAGAAAGACAGACATCCTGATGAGACTGTCTGATGCCAAGTGTGGACAGTGTGCCTGAAAAAGAAAAACACTATTATTTAATCTTGTTAAGTGGCTATTGGTGAAACAATACGCTTGGATATAAGTAGGGTTCCGCGTTTTCGGTTTCTATTTTTTCAAAATTCGGCGTACTTTTTTCGTTGTTTATTTTAAAATTCCATTTTCGGTTTTCTTTCGGCGTATATTTATGCCCACCAAAATTTATCGGCTTTTTTCGGTCTATATAAAATAAACACCACCGGACACCGGATCAGATTATCCTTGTAGCTCTGATTTTTTTGATCACTCAAATAATAACGGCACAGATATATTGAAAAAGAAATGGACACTTTGTTTGGCAAATGTGTGCAGCTGTAAAGAATCAATAAAATAAAAAAAACAGAAGTAAAAACAAATCAGATATAAAGCCTATGCCCAAAAAAACATGGAACTTCACCTTCTGTACATCAGGATTACGTGATCTTATTACAGCACACACGCATGTACCTTCCCAGGTTCTTTTCGTTGATCCGCACTCTTTCTTTCCTGTTAATATGACACTGAGCTTCGAGAATGCCCTCCCAACGCTAACACTGGACACTGGCAGGCTAAGGAGATGAAGCGCTGTCTGAGTCAAAATTGACTATACAACCAATTGTGACCACCAAAGAGACACGGTGCGACGTTTTGAAGCACAACACAACATGCAGAGCTTGCATCATGTCAGTTGTAACAAGTATGTAGCGCCCCCCTCCAGTCCGCCCGTCTGCGGCCGCCTGGCTCGGCGGGCAACATTGTTCACGACACTAATAAACGCCGTTGAGCGCACGCGCTCCGGTCAGACATCGTCCACCCTCAACCAGACTGCGTGTCGTCTCTCCTCGGCGGGTGCTTCGGCCCCCTTCGTCCACGTTCGAGAAAGATCGTGACACTGGCGACGAGGAACCGTGGCACTGGAGCCCACCAACGTGCACGGTTCGGCCCACGCCGCCGAGAGAGTCGGAACACCGCACCCCGCTCCTGTCGCCATGCCGCTGTACGGGAGGCTCGAGCCGTTCGAGGGAGATGGGTCCGCCTGGCCGGTCTACGAAGAACAGGTCCACGTGTTCTTCCGGGCGAACGACACGCCGGAGGCGAAACAACGGGACATGTTCCTGGCCAGCTGCGGGACCAGAGTCTTCAGTCTCCTGCTCGACCTCCTCAAGCCGGCCACGCCGCACGTTAAAACGCTGGGTGAGCTGCTCGCCACGCTGCGCTCGCACTTCAGCCCGGCGCCGTCCACGCTTATGGAGCGGTTCCGCTTCAATAACCGGAGCCGCCAGGACGGGGAGACCCTCGGGCAGTTCGTCGCTGCGCTACGAGGGTTAGCGAGCACCTGCGCCTTCGGCGACCAGTTGGACTCGCTACTCCGGGACCGGTTCGTCTGCGGCATCAACAACTCCGCCATGCAGACGCGACTCCTGGAGCTCCCCGACCCCTCGCTGGACGACGCGGTGAAGGCAGCGCAGGCGATGGAAGCCGCAGCGAAGGACGCCAGCGAGATAGCGCGTGCGGCCGGCTCGCCGTCGACGGAAGCGGCGGTGAACAAGATGGCGGCAAGGAGCGGTGCCTGCAGCCGCTGCGGTGCTGCTCACTCCCCCTCACAGTGCCAGTTCGTCCAAGCACGATGCTTTACGTGCGGGAGAACTGGGCACCTCGCACGTGTCTGCCGAGGGGGGAGGACGAGCGGAGGCCAGCAGCAGCAGCCTGGTTCAAGCCCGGGTTCCAGCCAAGCCCGCGGCCAGGGTGGTCGTCGCAAGAGAAAGCGGCGGGGACGAGCGGCACCAGGTCCGGGTACCTCCTCAGCCAGGGTCCACGTCGTGGCCGAGGACCCGCAGATCTTCGACGTGTGGCACACCAGGAGAATTTCATCGTCTGTGCCACCATATATGGTGTCTGTCGAAATCTGCGGCCACCCCATCACCATGGAGCTGGACACAGGGGCCAGCGTGTCGGTCATGCCCGGGAAGCTGTTCAAGCAGACCTTCCCCGGCGTGTCCATCGAGGCGTCAGACGTCATGCTGCGCAGCTACTCCGGGCAGCTTTCCCAGGTCCAGGGTCGGGCCCAAGTCAGCGTTCGCCTTGGCGACAGGGAGGCAATCCTTCCCCTTTACTTAACCAAGGGGTCGTCGCCGACGCTGCTGGGCCGGAACTGGATTCACTCGCTGGGTGTTCGGCTGCCGGAGTACCAGGAAGCTGCGCTGCACGTGGTGAAAGACGTCCCGAGCCTCCTGACCGACTTCCAGTCCCTGTTCCAGCCGGGGGTGGGCACCTTCGCCGGCACGACGGTCGGCATCCACGTACCCGAGGGAGCCCGGCCTCGGTTCTTCAAGCCGCGTCCGCTGCCGTTCGCCCTGAAGGACGGGGTCACCCAGGAGCTGCAACGGCTGCAGCGAGAGGGAATCCTGGTGCCCGTCAAGTCTTCCGAGTGGGCTGCACCGATAGTTTCAGTCCTCAAGCGAGACGGCCGCGTCAGGATCTGCGGGGACTTCAAGGTCACCATTAACCCCGTCGCTACCGTCGAAAAGTACCCGCTGCCTCGGGTAGAAGATCTCTGGTCGGCTCTGTCCGGGGGACAGAAGTTCACCAAGCTCGACCTTCGAGATGCCTACCAGCAGCTGGTGCTCCAGGATGCCGCCCGGAAGTACGTCACCATTTCGACAACCATGGGACTCTTCCAGTACACGCGCCTTCCGTTCGGCGTGGCCTCAGCCCCAGCCATCTTCCAGAGAGAGATGGACAACCTCTTCAGGGGCATGAGGCACGTGGCGGTGTACTTGGACGACATCCTGGTTACCGGTACCGACGACGGGGACCACCTGCAGAACCTGCGCAAAGTCCTGACACGACTACAGGACGCCGGTCTCAAGCTGAGGCTGGACAAGTGCGTGTTCCTGACCCCCAGCGTGGAGTATCTGGGACACATCATCTCCCAGGCTGGCCTGGCCCCGGCACCCCGCAAGATTGAGGCCGTGCTCAAGGCGCCGAAGCCCAAGAGCAAGAAGGAGCTTCAGAGCTACCTCGGCCTCATCAACTTCTACAGGAGGTTCCTGCCCAACCTGTCGACGCATCTGGAGCCGCTGCATCGCCTGCTTCGTGACGGGCAGCAGTGGGCCTGGAAGAAGGAGCAGGACTTGGCCTTCCAGCGCAGCAAGGAGCTCGTTGTTAAGGCTCCAGTGCTGGCGCACTTCGATCTGGCCAAGCCTGTGGTCCTCACCGTGGATGCGTCGCCGTACGGGGTAGGAGCCGTCCTGTCGCACCGGGGTCAGGATGGTCAGGAACGCCCTGTGGCGTTTGCTTCTCGTCGACTACATGCGGCGGAGCAACGCTACAGCCAGCTCGACAAGGAAGGCTTGGCCCTCATCTTCGGGGTCCAGCGCTTCCATCAGTACCTGTGGGGCCGGCAGTTCGAGGCAGTCACGGACCACAAGCCGCTGCTGGGGCTGCTAGGACCTGACAAGGCGGTCCCAGTGCAAGCATCGCCTCGTGTGGTACGCTGGGCCTTGACGCTGGCAGCCTACAGGTACAAGCTGGTCTACCGCCCTGGGAAGGACTTGGGACCTGCTGACGCCCTGAGCCGCCTGCCCCTGCCGGAGGTGCCTGCTGCCGTTCCAGAGCCAGCTGACGTGTTCCTGCTGGAGCGGGCCTACCCGGGGGTGCTTACCAGGACTGCGGTGGCGCAGGCGACCAGCCGGGACCCGGTCCTGTCTCAGGTGGTCAAGGCGGTTTCCCGAGGGGAGGAGCTGCGTCACCAGGCATACAGCCACAAGACCGCCGAGCTGAGCTTGGAGCAAGGCTGCCTCCTGTGGGGTTCCAGGGTGGTGATTCCACAAAGTCTGCGGGCCAAGGTGCTGCAGCTGCTGCACGCGGGGCATCCTGGCATTGAAAAGACAAAAATGGTGGCACGGTCGCACGTTTGGTGGCCTGGCTTGGACCAGGACATCGTGCACCAGGTGCAAGGCTGCCAAGTCTGCCAGGAGAACCAGCGAGCCTCGCGCCATGTGGAAATCACCCCCTGGCCGTTCCCACAGAGGCCGTGGTCCCGCTTGCACGTGGACTATGCGGGACCCTTCAAGAGACACTACTTCCTGGTGGTAGTGGACGCCTTCTCCAAGTGGGTGGAGGCACTGCCAGTCACCAGTCCATCGGCAAGCGCGACCATTGCGGCTCTGCGGCAGGTCTTCGCGGCGCAGGGATTGCCGGACATTATCGTGTCTGATAATGGTCCCGCTTTCGCCAGCGCCGAGTACCTGGACTGGCTGCAGAGGAATGGGATCCGCCGGATGCTGGTTCCGCCGTACCATCCTGCTTCCAATGGTGCAGCGGAGCGAGTGGTCCAGACCATCAAGGACAAGCTCAAGAAGAGCCAGCCCGGGGATTTCCGAACGCAGGTGGCCCGGGTACTATTCCAGTACCGGACCACACCGCATGAGGTCACTGGCCGTGCCCCCTGCGAGCTTCTGCTGGGCCGGATGGTCAAGACCCCCCTGGACGTCTTGCATCCAGACCTCCGGTCCACGGCGCTCCTGAAGCAGCTGAAGCAGAAGCTGGCTGCTGACCGAGGGTGCCGTCCCGGGCCTTTGCCGGAGCCGGGAGCGTCGGTGTACGCCAGGAACTTCCGTCCTGGCCTACCCTGGTCTGCCGGACATGTGGTTTCACCAGCGAGCGCCTCATCGCTGCTCGTCCGCATGCCCGACGGGACCACCTGGCACCGGCACGCCGACCATGTCAGGCCTCGCCTCGGGACCTGGCTTCCACCCTCGGCCGTCGCTTCAGAGGACCAGCCTGCAGGGGGCCCAACACCACCAGTAGCGGCCGGCGGAGCGCCATCCACCCCCGAGGCGACAAGTGTCGCCAGTCCTGTGGCACCAGTTGGACCGGTGCCACACCCAAATCCAGTCCCTGCGGCTCCACGGGGTGGAGCGCGACCAGTTCAGGCAGCGCCCGGCGTTGCCACACCTGGCCCGTCGACTCCAGGGCCCAGGCGGAGTATGCGGCAGCGAAGGCCACCTGACCGGTACTCGCCGGGGTGATATTCACCATCGACCGGCCGGGACTTGACACGACCTGACGCCTAGTTGGTGTCGGCCGTGTGTGTTTGTTTATATATTTTGTTTTTAGAAAAAACAAACTGGGGGGGAGGAGTGTAACAAGTATGTAGCGCCCCCCTCCAGTCCGCCCGTCTGCGGCCGCCTGGCTCGGCGGGCAACATTGTTCACGACACTAATAAACGCCGTTGAGCGCACGCGCTCCGGCCAGACATCGTCCACCCTCAACCAGACTGCGTGTCGTCTCTCCTCGGCGGGTGCTTCGGCCCCCTTCGTCCACGTTCGAGGAAGATCGTGACATCAGTCTTCCTTACAACGAGTTTGAAAACACGCTCGTACATGGCGAAGTCATGGGGCATTTCGGACTTTACGTTCCGATCGATGATGCGCACAACAAACCAAAATGTCGTGATGGCATCCGTGTATCCCATACATTCGGAAACGTTTCGATAGACACTGTCGTTCCACTTTTTCGCCACGGCTCTGCGGTACGACTGGAAGGTTAAAATGACCGTTTCCGGTTAAAACTGATTTTCAGAAAATGGATTCGACGTACTTTTATCGGTTTTTATCGATTTAAATCGAAAATGCCGAACCTAAAAACTGACCTTTTTCGGTTAAAACCGAATTTCCGAAATTGAATTCGGCGTACTTTTATCGGTTTTTATCGGTTTAAACCGAAAACTCCGAACCCTAGATATAACTAACAGTGCGTAGCTGTCTGCACTCCGCCAGCCAATAAACAGCAGTCAAAATGAAAACGCATCAGCAGCGGCTGTTGCTTCGGCAGCCTGTCCAGGACAAGCTTAAGAAGCAAAGTTCTGTAGAACGCTGCTTGGACCTTGCTCGAGTCGCCACGGGAGGGCACGCACTTCTAGAATTAACAAATTAACAGAGAAGACACTGGTGATAAATGTGGCTTGGTCGACCTGGAAACAATATCATTGTGTCAAACTTGAGAGCAGCAGCAGGGTTGCCAAAGCAGACTGCCCTGGGGAAACTGGGGAGTT